TCCTTCTGTGGAACTCCTTACCTGCCTCCCGGTTCGCGGTAACACATGTTTGTGGTTCCATTCTGTGAACTCCTAACCTGCACTCGCGTAACACGTTGTCCATTCTGTGAACTCCTTAACCTGCGGTAACCACGTGTCATTCTGTGAACTCCTTAACCTGCGGGTAACACGTTGTCCATTCTGTGAACTCTTAACCTGCGTAACACGTTGTCCATTCTGTGAACTTCCTTACCTTTGCGGTAACACGTTGTCCATTCTGGAACTCCTAACTGCCGGGTAACACGTGTCATTCTTGAACTCCAACTGCGTAACACGTGTCCATTTCTTGAACTCCTTAAACTGCGGTAACACGTTGTCCGCATTCGCTCCTTGTCGTTTGGAGGATGGTGTTTGCAGTCTTATCTTGGATGATCGGGTGAATGCATTGGTGTGCGTGCTGCATCATGGGCGATTGACCTGGTTTTGTTCACAAGGTGTTCTTGCCAGTTGTTCTTATCTGTGTCTGATGTCTGTTTGTAATGTTGTTGGTTGTACATGTGTAGAGGGTCAGGTGGGGTTGAGTGCTTGGGCTGTGTGTGTGTGCACATTGTGAGTGGTAGGTAGGTGCTTGAGTGTGTGTGTGTGTGTGTGTGATGTTTGATGGCAATTGGTGTCATGTTGAAGAAGTAGGTAGGTGCTTGAGTGGTTGTGTGTCGCTCGCGTGCTGTGTGTGTTTGTGATGTTTGCTCGCGTGTGCATGTGAGAGTAGATAGGTGCTTTGAGTGTGGTTGTGTGTGGAATGTGATCGCTCTCTCGTGTGTGTGCATGTGAGAGTAGATAGGTGGCGTTGAGCTGTGTGTGTGTGTGTGTGTGTGTGTGTGTGTGTGTGTTGTGTGTGTGGTGATGTGTGTGTGTGTGTGTGTGTGTGTGTGTGTGTTGATGTTTGTGTTGTGCATGTGAGAGTAGTAGTGCTGCTTGAGTGTGTATGGGTGTAATGCTTGTGTGTGCATGTGTGAGTAGGTAGGTGCTTGAGTGTGTGTGTGTGTTGTGTGTGTGTGTGTGTGTGTGATGTTTGTGTGTGCATGTGAGAGTAGATAGGTGCTTGAGTGTGTGTGTGTGTGTGTGTTATGTTTGTTTGTTGTGTATGTGAGAGTAGATAGGTGCTTGAGTGTGTGTGTGTGTGTGTATGTGTGTGTTTGTTTTGTGTTGTGCATGTGAGAGTAGTATTGTTTGTGTGTGTTGTGTGTGTGCATGTGAGCAGTAGATAGGTGCTTGAGTGTGTGTTGTGTGGTGGTGTGTGTGTTTGTGATGTTTGTGTGTGTGCATGTGAGAGTAGATAGCTAGTGTGTGTGTGTGTGTGTGTGTGTGTGTGTGGTTGTTGTGTTTGTGTGTGCATGTGAGAGTAGATAGGTGCTTGAGTGTGTGTGTTGTGTGTGTTGTGGTGTGATGTTTGTGTGTGCATGTGAGAGTAAATAGTGCTTGAGTGTGTGTTGTGAATGTGTATGTGTGATGTTTGTGTGTGTGTGAGAGTAAATAGGTGCTTGAGTGTGTGTGTGTGTGTGTGTGTGTGATGTTTGTGTGTGCATGTGAGAGTAGATAGGTGCTCGAGTGTGTGGGTGTGGGTGTATTGGGTGGCCATTTCCTTTCCACCCTGACTTTGACCCTAGTATGCTAACGTCACCATGCTAGCTAGTACTCACTATTAGATGAGTCGACTGTGAGGGCGACCGAACGCGAACTTGCAATTGCAAAGCCAACGCTATAACACTGAGCTATGTCAGCTCTCATATGTATATATATATATATATATATATATATATATATATATATATATATATATATATATATACTTGAAAAATTGGCTAATGCGATTCGATGCATCGATTCTTTCAAAACTGGGAAAGCGAAACCGATACCAATACATGTATCGTCGATACAGCATTGGCGATACTCTATTGAAAAAAAAAAAATATCCAAACTGATATTTAAATATTATATAAAGATGTTTGATGCACTGTAAAAAGTGACTGCAGTTAATAAACGTTTTTTTTTTTCAAAATCATGTTATTTTCACCAACACAATAACAATAGTTGCTATATTACAGATGCGTCCATGGCTTTTACTGCATAACTTGGAATAAAATTCCGTTCCTTTATGACCAAGGAAAAGAAGAGATAGTCATCTACCTCTCTCACACTTCTTGAGCGCGAACGAGAGAGAGAGAATAAACACAAAAAATACACTTCCCAACAGATAGATAGAGAGAGAGAGAGAGAGAGAGAGAGAGAGAGGAAATCAGGGGGAGGAGGGGAGGAGGGGAAGACGGTGAAAGGGAGGAAGGGAGTGAAAGAGAGAGAGGAGGGGATGGAGACATATATAAACGGAGTGAGAAAGAGAAAAAGAGAGAAACAGAAAGTAAAGGAAAAGATTTTTTAAAAATAAAATTGCAAAAGTAGAGAGAAAACACAGAAAGAAAGTAAAATAGAGAGAGAGAAAGTAAGGGAGGGAGGGAGAGTAATAGAGTGAGCGAGTGAGTGGAAGAAAAAAAAAGAGAAATGATGAGAATGATAGACACAAACACACACACACACACACGCACACACATACATATATGTGTGTGTATAAATATTCGTACTATAGAATCCCTCTTGAAAAGTTTTTCAGTCTAGCTCTGTGAGAGTTGCAAAACTGTGTGGTCCAGCAGCATCCATTACTATTTATCGGCTTATATTTATTGAAGGCGACTGAAGACTTCAATACAGCTGAAATTCTACATATTAGTACATCAACCATAGCTTCCAATATACTTGTACCACCAAATACTATACGTAACTCCCACACCAAACACAACATAAACAAAGCCGCTAAATTCATTATATTATTACACACGAACAGCTGACATTACAATTCAAATGAAAAAATACAAGATGAATATGGAAATGCTCGAGACATGCATATAAGCACACAGTCATGCACTAGATCTCATGTGTCACAGCCAATGACAAACAAGAATATGTACAGGCAGCGTTCACACACAACGTATAAAACTCACAAAGCTGTAAAGGACATACATACCACTACTGTATTAGCTCTTAGGCCACAGCATTTGTTTTTGTTTTTATTTTATTTTTTTCTAGAATAGCGAGCAAGTCTGGTGATAATAAAATATCGGTGAGGGAAAAAAATCCCCAAAAGAAAGACGTGTACTTCCTGCCTTTCAAAGATCAGAAGTAAAGGAATGTATCAGTTCCAGCCCCACAATTCTGTCTTACAAGAGGTCTTGGAGGAGTTGAATAAAACAAGACAAAGAATCTTTCAACCAGAATTTATTATTTTGGAAATCAAAATAGAAAATATTCACGATAGACAATAGACATATGACACATGAGAGTAAGGTATTTCCGCCATATATTTTCATTTTTGTTTGGGGGACGGAGAAAACGATACCATAGATAATGAATCATACAAATTGATATTTTTCTTCTTTAGTCGGGGGACATCACAATATTGGCGGATTTTTTTTTTAATCGGGATTTCTCTCTTCATTTTCTTAGAAATGAATGCTGGCGGGTCGCTATTCAAGAAAAAAAATGTTGTGGCCTTACAGTCGATCAGTTCCCTAAATGCTGTATACAAACAACAACAGCAAACAAAAACATTTACAGGGAACCCCACGTAGCATATAAAACTCATAATCATAAAACAGCAAAGGTTTTATATATCATAACAGTATTAACGATTTACAGTCAGAGTTCCCAAAATGCAGTATATAAACAACAGCTGAAACATTTGCAAACCTTTTAAACAATTCTATCAAACAAACACTTGCAGAACGAAGGCTCTTACACCTGAATACTCTCCCCCCCCCCCCCACTCTCCCTCCATCAGCCATCATGTGCGTGACAAGCATTGAACAGATGTGTGTGTGGTGTGTGTGTGGGGTGTGTGGGTGTGTGTTGTGTGTGTGTGTGTGTGTGTGTGTATGTGTGTGTGTGTGTGCTGTGTGTGTGTGTGTGTATTGTATATACACAACACAATATATATATATATATATACCTTGTGTGTGTGTGTGTGTGTGTGTGTATATATATATATATATATATATATATATATATATATATATATATATATATATACATACACACACACACACACACACACACACACACACACACACACACACACACACACATACACATATATATATATATATATATTATATAATATATATATATATATATATATATATATATATATATATATATATATTATACATTTTATACGTGTCCAATTGACCGGTCTCTTGTGTACCAATTTTCGAGATAATTGCCAATACACTCTGTTTTTTTCTGTTAAATACATTTCTGACGTGAGAAGCGTGAGGGTGATCACGAACCGGAAAAGAAATGAATATAAGAGGCAGGAGGATCATTACACATTTATTTCCAGAAAAAATAAAATAAGATAATGAAAATAATAATAATAATAATAATAGAATAATATAATAATAATATAATAATAATATATATAATAATAATAATAATAATAATTAATAATAATAATAATAATAATAATAATAATAATAAAATAATAATAATAATGATTATAATAATAATTAATAATAATAATAATAATAATATAATATAATAAATCCATGTTTATATATCTGCAAGAGCTCTTGATCCACTCAGTCTTCCTCCTGATGCCCTTAATGCCCATGTTGCAATACCGGGAATGGGATACAAGCGCAGATGATGAATTGAGCTGTAGTTTGCGGCGATAGGGATAGACGTGCCAATAAAATGCACAATTATACTGCATTTCACCTTTAGTCCCGTTTCTCAATTTCAAAGATAAGCGAATAACTGAAATTGCAAATACACCAAAGACTTTACTTTCTAATAAAGGAACGGTACTCAATTATCAGCAGGCAAAAAACATTACCCCAATATCAGCCTTAAATCTGTGCTTAGATTTGATGAAATTAGTCAGTGAGATAAGTGAGATGAAAAAAATCGTCATTTGGGATGTGGCTGTGAAAGGAGATTACACCTTGAAGCTTTTACGTCACGCTCGAACGTGATCTCCACTGTGTATTTCGGCTTAGCCTTGATCCTATACGCCAGGATTTGCCTCTGAATAGAGTTAAAGCTATGATACACTATGGTATGTGGTCTTCGTAAATATGAAACAGATGAGGAGCTGAACCGAAAATGTGAAAATAAGATATAGTGCGACTTACTCGAACGCGATCAGCTGTGTTTACACCTGCTTGTCACAAGGCTCGATTCCTCAAGACTAAGCATCTCCTTTAGTTTATGGACTGCCATTTACTCCGTGGGCGATCACTGACCGTAGATTGGGTTTGCAGGTAAGGCAGAGAGAGATACCATTTGCTTAATATGTGCCATTAAGCAGCTGTCTTTCATAAGCTCTAGCTGTTATTTTTAGTGTTTTACTGGTTACACCCACTGGGAGAACTGAGATGTTTCATATGTTGCTAGTGCATATGAGTAAGATATTACCTTGCAGATATAGCAATGTCAAATAATTAGATTAAACAAGTGGTGTTTAAAACCAACCTTGATATTTTTCTGGTTAGTATAGACACGTATAGACAGGATTTACCTCAACTCTGAGTAAAATTACTCAATTAAGCATTAGTATTAACAGGTAATCAGTTTATGAAATCGATAGAGTGTTTAATGCTATGGCATATATCTTATGTGATATACATGTTGTAGGTGAAGAATAGGAAAGCTATACTACTGTTAAAGTAGTTAAACCAAATGATAGAGGTTGCCAGTTAGTCTGTGTACCTGTGGAGTATTGGCAAAGACCAAGGAACCTCCACCACCTACATTCTGATAGGATGGAGATTCTCATACTCCTTTGGGTATCAATTAAATTTCATACAGCCTAGGTTCCGCGACTCAGACCCAGTCATAGACCAAGTCATGGTACCTGAGCTTCCTCTGACCACCCACCATCCTATTTTAGTTACATTATAATTACACTCCACCAGACATTGCATATTTAAGGTAACATCAGAAGTTCTAATGGTTCTGAAACTACTTAATTGTATTTATAGTCTTCATAAATTTTCAAGAATATCCACATATAAGTTATAACCCCAGCTCTTTATCACAATATTTATTAAACAATCTAAGTTGCCATGACCGGGTATGCCCAACTGCCATAGGGGAAGGTTGATGGAGGCTCCGCCCCCAACAAAACATTGTCTTCACCTCAAACATGGCGAGATAGAAATTTCAGGAGCAGTGAATGGACTTGCTATAAGGGGCACTTTCCACAATCTTTTCCTTTTATTTGTGGGGCTACCATTTGTGCCTGCAGATTATTTCTTGTACTGATGACTGCAATTTTTTTATCCTCTACAAGAATATTATGTGTTATTTTTCCTAGCTTAGTGCATCCATAGCATAAAGATTAACCAAAGAATGCTCTAATTCTGGATAGCAGAAAGGTGATAATCCCCAACTTGAGTCTGCTTCTAGACTCAGACAGGGCTAGAGGATCCTCAGCTTAAAAGATTATGTAAAAAGGATCAAATTTCCTCTGCTCTCTGCAATCTGCTCACAGTTCTTATGACACATTGTGGACTTTCATATCAATTGGACCACATTCCATGCACAGAGAGAAACATATTTCCTTCCTTATATTATTATTATAAGTGATATAATTGTACAGTAATAATGAGGGCAGTATTCTTTTAGATGTTCTTTTGCAAAGTCTTTTATGTTTTACTGACTTTAGTAGATTGTAGAATTTAATCCACTCATGCCAGGTGACATCCAATCGTGTGGCAAAGAAATTCCAGACATGGGTTGACGTCTAACTGCATAATGAGCCCAGCTTTTGGTGGCCAGGATGATGGCTTGCAAGCAAAGCCAGACAGTAGCCCAAGCACAGTGTTACTAGCTAATGCAGCTTGGCCTTGCCAAACTTTATCCAAAAATTTACATCATGAATGGCTTAATCAACGCCGAAGTTGTTTTTGTGTACATTTGATAACCCTAAGCTTGGGTTCTGGAGTTACCTCCAGCCTTTTAGTTTTAGTTATTTTACAGGTACATTTCCTCAGACTAAACATTTGGGTGGCTTCAGACAATTTTTATAAAAATGGTAATACTTTTTGGTAATGTTACAGTTACGCAATGATATTTAACAAATTTCTGAGAAGATTCTAGATTAGATTCTCAATTAGTTGACCATTGCTTTATTCAGATTACACCTGATTTACACTAGAATCTCCTGTCTTCTAATAACTTTTTTATCCTTATTTATCACTGGGAAATCAAGATCATTATTTAGAAATAAGGCTTGAGAGTGCTTCATTGTTTGTGCAATTTTAAAATCAAATATGAATTTGCTTGACACTTTTACTGGCATAATTAGCTGTAATTCTTTACAGTATGGACACTCACCAGAAACAAAGTCCCCAAATCTAAATTGCCATGACTAGGTGTGCCCTTCAAGCAATAACCAAGGGGTGGGTTGATGGAGGGCTCTACCCCCAACACCCCCCCAGCAAACATTATCCTCACTTTGGTATGCATGTCAAGATAGAGCTGAAAATCAGGGCACCAAGTGGACTTAGGCTGTGATCGGTATTTTCTGCAATCTTTTTCCTTTATTTGTGGCGTTACTGATCATGTCAGCAAATTATTCCTTGTACACAACTGCAACTTTTTATCCTCTAGTAGAATGTTATCTTCAATCTGTCCTACCTTAGTGCATCCATACCATAAAGATTAACCATGATTAGGTTTATGTAAATGATTTTTGCTTAGATTTCAACTGCAGAAAACATCTTAATTATCATACATACTTTTTTGTAAGGCAAAGAAAGCTCTTCAGGCATTATATAATATTTTCCCAGGAATTGTTCTATCTTTGCATGTATAGAATTAGTAACAAACTTTTCATGATCAGTATTATGATCATGAAAACCTTCCTATCAGCCATGATTAAGTTGATGACACCCAGGATTAGACCGAGGAAAAAGGAATGTTTTATGATTTATTTTTTACGTTAGAACTGGTGTTTGGAGGAGTTGATTGCAAGAAAAAGGGATGAATAGATAACTGAAAAAAGTAATAAAGGCTAAATTGTGTAGAATATGCAGAGTAAAAGTGCATTTTATTTGTTTGGTTGAATTGTTGAATTTAGGGTGCAAGTTTTTCTTTCAGATATCTTCATAGTGGTGATTGTTTACTCAAATTCAAAATAACAGGGTTATTGATAGTCTAGCAATCAGTAAGTAACTTGCATTTTATGAGAAGAAACTTTTGATTGCTGTTTATTTCAGTTACGTCATTCCAGATGGTTGAATGAAATCAAAATCAAAATCTAAAATCATCTTTATTTCTTACATGAGTTGGGTCTTCAGCCTTGTTATTTTTTTATGATTTAAAACCTTATATCTCCTGGCAGTTACATGATTGTGACATTGACATTGATATCTTCAAAATAGGCAAACAGTTTTTCATTTAAAAAGTTGAAACTGTGATTAAGTTGTGGGTGAACATGCACTTTGACCTTTGACAGCGTTTTGATTTTGATTTTGCACTTCAACAGTTTATAAGCAGGTTAGAAAATATTAGATGCATTATACATTGATAGTGATATAAACATTATTTTACAATATAAATGGAAATATAGTTAATTTCAGTGATAAACCAATGATATGGAAAAGAAGGGAGGTAGTGTAGATATAAAACTACTGATAAAACAATTAAACTGATAAGATCCATGCGGAGTAGAAGTAACAGGTTTCCACTGATAACATTGTACTCAAGTCAGTGCTTTGTTTTTTAATTTTTTTATTTATGTTATGTAATAGAAGAGTGTTATTTTCTTAGTTCCTTGTACATGTGCTGTTTTTATCTATCACATTGTGTATTTTGACAGGCATCGTTCCTAAGAGAGTTCTCCTCAAATATGGATACGATAAGGTGAGTTTTTTCATTCTTTCTTCCTTTCTTTTTTATTATATGCATGTGTTAAACATGTTCAGATATAGTAAAAGGTAGTGGAAAATGAAAGCTCAGAAAATATTCTCAACTTTATACTTTATGTAGTATGATGTTAGATACTTAATTGACGTAAAATTGCAACTAACCAATAACCCAGGTTAGAAATTTGGCTTGTGGTCCATTTAGGGTTGTTGGTACGCATCGACAGTTTCCTGTTTGTGCCTGGCTCGTTCAGTAGTTTTAGGCACATAAAACTTTATATTTTCATATCATTAAAAATGATATAGAAAAATGTGAAAATTTACCTTCACTTTAGGTGCTATTACCTAAAATTTTAACCATACAAACGATGTCATTACTATCAGAGAAAAACAAGCTACATTCAATGAGCCGACAGCACAGGAATGGTCGTGATGCAATGTCACCCACTACTTGGTCCACAACCGCCATGGCATATACATACATGCCACCCAGTGGGAAGGGGTTAATGATATAGAATTAAAATACTAAATGATATAGTAAAATGCTTGTTTAAACATTTTGATGTTTCTACTATTCATGATATAAATATTTTTGTACATAGAATACATGTGTCAATATATACAGTTAATTTAACCTTATTGTCCGCCAAAATGTACTTTTGGTTATTAATAGAGATTTTCATGCCTATTTTAATTCCTGTTCATCAGCATGTGCTGCGTGACTTGGAATGTGGAGACAGGATGGCCGGAGCAAGACTTGCATAATCTCCTGGGAATACGGAAAGACCCAGTTATAAAGCGTGAATCAGATGATCTGTTGCCAGATATATATGTCGTGAGGTAAGTACATTTCCCACTCCTTTTATTATGGCATTTTCTGTGTCTTTCCCATTCCCACTCATCTCTATCTCATTTTCTCTCACTGTCTCTGTCTCTCTGCCTATGTATATTTTACTGTTCCTATCTCTCCATTATTATTTTCTCTTATAGTTTCTTTCTCAAAATACAAGAGAACTTGGAAGCATTGTTACCACCTATGATCTAAAGCTAAAAAACTACCAACTTCTGCTTTCATAGTTTACAGGAGGTCAAATCCCAGCCACAAAATGTCGTGATGGATGCATTATTTGAGGAGCCTTGGACTCTTGCCTTCCGAGAAGTTGTTGGACCCCATGACTATGTGAAGATCAGCACTGAGCGTCTTCAGGGATTAGTCACGACCGTCTATGTCAAGCGGAAACATGTGCACCACATACGTGACATTCATACCTCTGTCACTAGAACTGGCTTTGGTGGGTTATGGGTAAGTAACTGGCATGTCTATTCATTTACCGTGAATAATGATTATCAGTTGGAAGAACCATGCGAAAACTCAGAAACATTAATTTCTTAATCTATTTTAGCCCTCTTTTTTGCTCGTTTTTACAAGATTATTACTTACATTACTGCAAATATTTGTATTGTATTTATGCTTTAACCTATTGTTTCTAGGGATGGCATGTACGCACATTGATGGCTTCACAATTACTTAATCACCAAAGAGTCAATCACTAGTCCTGCCTGTCACACCTGATTACTGTTTTTCTTGATTTTTTTTAGAATGATGATAACAGTATTGATATCAATAGCATTACCAAAAACAACGGGCAGTCGGCTGAGGTCATATAGGCCTACTAATTATAGACTCCTTGGTGGCTGATCACGTGTGGAGCCATCTGTGTGTAAACATATTTCACAAAACAAAACTGCAGAATATTATTTTTTTGCTAGTTACAGTGGATTAGAATTTGGATTCTTGATGTATTTACCTTAAACATTCCATAGAGTCTCTTCATAAAATTCACAGTTGATGCTTAGGTGTAAATTATACATTGTTGTTGATTATAAAAAGTTATTCTTTAATGCAGGGAAACAAAGGAGCTGCAAGTATTAGATTCACTCTGTATGGCTGTTCTGTATGTGTTGTCAACTGTCATTTGGCGGCACACGATAATGGCTACAAGGAACGAGTCGAAAATTTCAACGCAATTATCGATTACTCCACCTTCCCAGTACCAGAAACCAGCAACATTCTTTTCCATGAGTAAGATATGTATATCTGTGTGTGTGAGATGTGTGGATAGTTGGTTGGCTAAGTGTATTTGTTTGTTTTTTATTTGTATGCATTTTCTTTATTTTTTTCTTCTTCTTCTTTTGTAAATTTGAACTGAATAAACAAAATCTTTTGATATTTAGGGTTTTAGATATACATAGAATTATACAGCATCTTTGAAGTGTATTTAATGTATTCTCTCTCCCGTCAGCTATGTCTTCTGGATGGGTGACCTGAACTTCCGTTTTGAAAGCCACTTAACAGGGGAAGAAATTGTCCAGCTAATAAAAGCCAGTGACTGGGGAAGCCTAATGGAAGTAGATGAGCTAATTAAGGCTCAGAAAAGTGGAGATGCCTTTTCAATGTTAAAGGAAGAAAGGTTATCCTTCCCACCAACTTATAAATACAAGGAGGGAACTTCCACATATGATTTAGCGTAAGTTATTCACTGCAAAAGAATGTTATTTCTAATAGTGAATGTGAAGGTACTCTGTGTAATATTGTTGATTTGTAGTTGCATTCAGAATTGTTTTTATGTTATTCTTGGTGCATTTCCATGCAGGGGAGTTATACTATCAGGGGAGTTATACTCATTTCCTCAGGCTAGCCATGTTAAGTGTGAGTATGCCATATGCAGGGTAGATGATATAAATAGTCTAAGAGATAAAATGACCTATGTGTAATTTTTTTTCAAACAGTTAAAGAATGTTATATATAAGTGAAAGAAGCCCAGTTGATGGATACAAAAAAAAAAAAAGGATTTGTGGCATTTTTAAAAGACAAACAACCATTTAATCATGTAAAACACAAGATATCACTGGAGTAGCAACGGGGACACAGACTGCATGATTGACACCCTTGCCTTTCATTATATATGATGGTAACAGAGATTGAATTTGATCAGTATGCTCCTTGAACTTGAGTCTTTTGGTATTGTTGGTATTATCATTATGATTGTTATGGAGGTTTTGGTAATTGATTTCTCAAATTGCAGGAGAAGACCTGCCTGGACAGACCGCATCCTCCACCAGGTCCATGTGGATGCCTATGAAAATGTGAAACTCGGGGTGGAGCAGTCATCTTATACTCATTCTGGCTCCTACACTCAGTCAGATCATAAGCCAGTCAAAGCTAATTTTAGGATCAAGGTATTTTGGACATTATATAACAGTAGTTGTACATTGCTCGCATAACACCATCTCACTGGATATTTTACGGACAGCCAGATGCATTTGCTGTGCTTTTTATCAAACACAATTAATGACTTGGTTTAGTTTTGATAGCAGGTATACATGCATTTTTTCGTTTTATTATTGTTATTTCTTTTTTTTCTTTATTATTATTATTCCTCTGTAGATTTGTTTCTTTACAGCATTTCACCATTTAGTTTAGGAGGCTGTCTACTTATTATTATTCTTTTGCAGAGACTGGATTCTTTTGTTCATGAATTTCAGTATATAGATCTCACAGAGTAAGATTATTGAGAGAATCAAAAGATTGGAAACTGGTATGAATAGTAAAAGCCAGTTAGTTATCTTTTCACTGTTTTTTGTGTCTTTTATTTATCTTCAGCATTCCTGTAATATATATCATTTAAGGAAATTGATTAAGAATTGAATATGATAATTTTGAACATAATATTTGCAAAGTAATTAGATTGCATCATATTCTTTGAAAATATACTGTTCTTTTTTATACAGTTTTATTATTATTATTATGAAATTTGTTTCTCTTATATTACTGTGATGTGTTTCCATACTGATTTTTGCAAGATTTCAGCTGCTACCATTGATTTAGTATTTTTAATAACCTTTTACTTCTTATGTGTTCAGGTATTTGCCAACCACGAGGAAAGGTGTGTACGATTCACCTGCATAGGAACATGGTTGGTAGGTGAAGGTGGCCCAGTGAAGTTCACTATAGACGCAGATGTTACAACTTCAACCTGGGACTATGTTGCTCTCTACAAGGTATTCAAACATTTATTTGTTGTATTTTGCATATTTTTCATAATATCAAGGAGTTTGAAATTCTGTATGAAAAATCAATACTAAGTCAGTTGTCATTGACTGTTCACTTTTACAGCATACAATACACACAAGTATACCTTTTATCATAATTGATTGTGTATGGAGATGGAGACTACAGTTTTTGTTGATATAATTGTTATTTGTACAGTAAGCAATATTATATCAGCAGTAGGGCTTAGAATATATTGTAGTTAAGGATAAGTGTATTTGTGAGGGAATGTGTATGTATATGATGGCTGACCACTACAATGATGTTGTTTCAATTTCAGGCTGACTTTACATGTATGCAGCAATACATCACGTACATGTATGTTCCTCAGCCATCTCCAGGATCTGGACAACGAACCTTTCAGGTGTGTTATTTTTATTATTTTCACATGTCGAGGTATCGGGTTTCAGAATTAGTGAGCAAAGTTTCCTGCTCTTAATATTTTATATACAATGTTGGTCTGAAGTTGTTGTAACCCTTACAATCTGGATGATGTGACCAGTACATATGAAAAATTTGGCTTGAAGGGGATGGCTGAAGGGTACATGACACCACAAGGGCACAAATTTCTTAGAGAGTAATTACAATTGATGGGAATTCAGGAAGGATCTTTGCATTATGATAAATGTGTAGAATGTATCCTACATGAACCGTGACTAGAAGAGGGCTGTCTCCAGGGAGGACACCATTTCCATACTCAGGATCCTTTTCCTGCCTGCTGTGACCATCATTACAAAACATGGAATGTTACAATTTTTTTTTCTTTTCTTTTTTTTTTAATGACACAAATAATAGTGTTACTTATTATTATTATTGATGTATTAAGTATTTGACTACCTAGAGAGATGATATTATTATTATTATAGTAAGGTATATAAAGAGTCACACTGAAAAAATTGAGATTTATAACAGGTGTCAGTGCAGGTCAAGATACAGCTAAGAAAGAATGAAAGAATAGAAAGTCAGCAATTTACGTAAAAATTAGCTGCTTTTAAACTTAAAGCCACTCCCACGCCACTGGCTCGTCGGACGGAGTTTGTTTTTCTCAGATAGTAGTGGCTTCATTTATATGGTAAAGATTTTAGGCAATAGCACCTATAATGAAGGTAAACCTTTAGAATTATAATATTTGTATAAACTATAGCAAAATAAAAGCTTTTAGTTGCCAAATGTCGCTAGCAAACTACCGAATGAGCCAGGCACAAACGGGAAACTGCCAATGCGTGCTAACAATTCATCCACTTACCAAACTTTTTTACCCAGAGGCATTGGGTTAAAAGAAAGATCAAGCAGTCTTAAGTGTGAATCTGCAGCAGATAACCACGCAGGAGAACAATACTCAAAATGAGGCAGAATATAAAAAAAAGCATTTACAAGTTATATCATCTTCCTAGATCCTCTTGCACTTGCAAATGAGGCCTAACTTAGCTTAAATTACCTGGGCCATATTCGTAATCTACCATCAACATGAACACGCTGCTGCCTACCAGTGAAAAATTCAGTTAAAATACTTAAAACTATACCACCAACACCAACAGACTGTAACTTAACAGTGTCAAAAGCTGCACAAAAATCCAGAGGGACAAGCCTGGACTCATGACCCTTATCTAAAGCAGACTGCATGTCATGTACCAACATAAGCAATGCATCATTGCAGCCAAGTCCCTTTCTAAAACCAAACGGAGTCTCTGGAAGAAACGGTCTCAAATGTATAGAAAGACATTTGACCAGCAAACGTTCAGTAGGTGAAGACTGTAGTGGGCCCATGGGAATAGAAGTAACATTACAAAAGCACCAGCACTCAGAAAATAACCCTTTACAAACTGAGAGGCCTAAGATTACGGCTAATTTAGGAGCTTATTGGCCATTTAGTCTTTTTAAAATCAAAGGAAACAAGCCATTAGGGTCTACTCCACCATATTCATCTAATTCTGAGAACAGATACTTAATTTCAGAGGACCTGAAAGCAAATGAATTAAAGCATGGTAATGGGTGACATGAAAGAGGAAGCTCAATATCATTTAACTTTGTTTTGAAATGAAAGAATCTGCTAACAAGGTAGCTTTCTTGATCAGATTATATGTAACAAACCATCAGGTTTCATTAGAGGAGGAATGGAAGACTCAGATATATGGAGTCTGTGTAAGGAAAACAGTCTATTCCCATCTGGATTTAGCAAATCAAATGACTACTATAGACATTGGAAAATGGCAAAAAAAAAAAAAAAAATAAAAATAAAAATAACATTGCAAAGTGGAGGCATAAAGTCTTACCGCACGCGAGTATTCTTATGCGCTCGGCCTGCAAACTGAAGACTTTGTCAGAGTGGCCTCTCAAGTAAGTCCATTGCCCATATTTTAAAGCTTTTTTGAATGTGTTAAGTATAATTGTCATGTTATTTCATATAAGTAATGAACCTGTAAAATGTGGGACAAGTAAATAGGTAGGTAAGAGAAGTAGTTATATTATGTATCCATACAGTTTCAGGGAAATATTTTTATATTTTGTACCATATTGGATTGAGTCCATCTTTGTCATTTGGCTGTAACAGATATGGTTCAATTAATCACAATTCATTTTATATGTAACAGGTGAGACATTGACAGCACCTCTCAGATATGGATTTCAGAGTGAAAATCATAAATGCAGTATATAATTTATCCTGAATCCAAGGTTATTACTGTTAATCTCAGAAAAGAAACCCTACTCAGTGTATGCTTGTTATATATGCACATGAAAAATTACATCTTTTTCTGCACTAATGCCCTTATGTCCTCAGATGGTGTTCAACGATGAGCTGCTGCAACACCCAGGGATGTATCGCCTCTTATATTATTCTGGCAAGTACAGCAGCTATCTAGGAATGAGTGATCCATTCCCAGTTCTTACACGCCAGGATTAGCTTCTGTTTTATTGGCAGAGTATCAAATGCAAAAATTTATAATTTAGCAATATCTCTAAGGCAGAATGAGACCTAGATACCTGTCAAATATAGTGTAGAAGGAAATGTACATCTTCCACAACAAAAACAGTTATTGATTCCGATGTGATGATTTTATCTGAGAATTTTTATATTTTGTGCAATATTTATATTGGGTGTCAGCTCTACCATAGCCTTAATTCATTTTGTAATGTTATTTTGGCTTTGGTTAACTATCAACAATTGAAGTGAGCGAAACGATAATATCATTATCATATGGGGCTTCTGAAATTCATAACATCATGATTGCACTAATAGCTACTATTACATCTAATGTGAATATGAAATTTAAGGGCTATATTGAACCCATTCAGACCAGAAATGTAGGCCCGTGCATGCTGTGTCCATTGTGTTCTTAGTTTAATTTTGTTTATACATAGTTGGCTCCACAAGTGCTTAGTCACAAAGGTGTCATGTATTGATCTCACCTGTTCACCCTATTCCTTGAACTTTGATTTTATTACTCTTAAGATTGTTAATATCATAATGATAGGAATAATGTCAATAATTATATGGAAAAATATCCCCAAATTTCAAGGAATTTAAATTAAGTCAAGCAATCCTGGTACCTGACACCAGGTGAGTGATCACTTTTAGAGCCTTTTCTGTGTAAACAAAATTGACAAAACAAAACTGCAGTAGACTCTTTATGTAACATGAATCCAGTGGGTTAGTTCTGATATTCCAGCAAGTAGATAAAATTGCATTGTTATTCCTGTTCAAAATCCAGAACAGTGTGTGTGTGGTGTGTGTGTGTGTGTCTGCATTTGCAGTGTGTGTGTGTTTAGAAATCAATTAGTTAAACATGTGTTCATATTAGTTCATGAAAGTAGATATAGACCATTTCCTTATAATTGTTCGGGAGAATTATGGTTAAATATTTGTACCAGAATGAATGTTATATCAGTCTATTAATAACTTTTGTTCTTTCTTTCTCTTTTTTCTGATCTGGTATAGAATGTCTTTCTCAGTGTTTTTCGTAGAATTTGTGTACTAATTTTGCAATATATGTATTGTTGATAACAATATTGTTTTGTAGCATAACATATGTTTGATGATCTAACTCAGAGAATTGAGAGAGAGAGAGAGAGAGTGAGTGTTGAGTGAGAGAGTGAGAGAGTGAGTGAGAGAGAGAGTGAGTTGAGTGAGAGAGAGAGTGAGTTGAGTGAGATAGAGAGTGAGTTGAGAGAGAGTGAGAGTGAGAGTGAGTGAGTGAGAGAGAGAGTGAGAGAGTGTTGAGTGAGAGAGAGAGTGAGTGAGTGAGAGAGAGAGTGAGTTGAGTGAGGAGAGAGAGTGAGTTGAGTGAGAGAGAGAGTGAGTGAGAGTGAGTGAGAGAAGAGAGTGAGTGAGTTGAGTGAGAGAGAGAGTGAGTGAGAGTGAGAGAGAGAGTGAGAGTTGAGTGAGAGAGAGAGTGAGTGAGAAGAGAGAGAGAGAGTGAGAGAGAGAGAGAGAGAGAGAGAGAGAGTGAGAGAGAGAGTTGAGAGAGAGAGAGTTGAGAGAGAGAGAGAGAGAGAGAGAGAGAGGAGAGAGAGAGAGAGAGAGAGAGAGAGTGAGAGAGAGAGAGAGAGAGAGAGAGAGAGTTGAGAGAGAGAGAGAGAGAGAGAGAGAGAGTTGAGAGAGAGAGAGAGAAGAGAGAGAGAGAGAGAGAGTTGAGAGAGAGAGAGTTGAGGAGAGAGAGAGGAGAGAGAGAGAGTGAGAGAGAGAGAGAGAGAGTTGAGAGAGAGAGAGTTGAGAGAGAGAGAGTTGAGAGAGAGAGAGAGAGAGAGAGAGAGAGAGTTGAGAGAGAGAGAGTTGAGAGAGAGAGAGTTGAGAGAGAGAGAGTTGAGAGAGAGAGAGTTGAGAGAGAGAGAGAGAGAGAGAGAGAGGAGAGGAGAGAGAGAGAGAGAGAGAGAGAGAGAGAGAGAGAGAGAAGAGAGAGAGAGAGAGAGAGAGAGAGAGAGAGAGAGAGAGAGAGAGAGAGAGAGAGAGAGAGTAGAGAGAGAGAGAGAGTTGAGAGAGAGAGAGAGTTGAGAGAGAGAGAGAGAGAGAGTTGAGGAGGAGGAGAGGGAGAGTGTGTGTGTCTTGTATGTTTTTGTGTTTAGCTTACCTTTTCAATATTAATTATATTTTCAGTGTAACTTAATTTTTAATCTGTAAGTATGCAAAAGTGCATCCACTTTAGAGAAAATACAGAGAAAAGACTATTCAATACATGACATAGGAATTATCATTATCATCAAGAAAACTTGAAAAAACATGAAGATTTGGTAATCTGCTTACATATTACAAAGCCTTTATTAACTGTATATTAGGTAGTAATATTACTGATTTTATTCCATTACAATTTTTTATCTTTGCGCTCTACTTCTGATCCATGACACTGTAGAGTGCCTGCCACCTTTTGGTATTTTGTACTCTAATTTTCTGAAACAATTTAGCATAATCCTTCGGTACTTATTATACATATATATATATCCTTATATATTGCTTGCAGATATATGTACATATTATTGATGATATTGATGGTATTTATTTTTAGAGAAAAAATCCTGCTTTATCTTTTGAGTTCTTGTTTTCGATTTAAGTGCATTTTTTAAAAGTATTCAGAAAGACGTGTATGTTTCTCTGACATTATTATTTCATTGAGATTTGACTCATGCCATTCAATTTTTAGAATGAATTTCCTTTAATCTTTTAATTGTAGTTTGTATAATGGTAGCAACTAGATACTTTATTTTCTGTTGCATTTAAACAGTATTTCTAAGACATATACACCTCTTTCTTGGTCACTTTTATTTTGAAATAAAGATAATCAAAAATTGTTTGCACATCTTTTATCAAAGTATTTTATGGCATGCATACCAGAGTTTGGACTGGCTTGATAATGTCGTATGTTAAAACTGTACCTTATTTTTATAAGTGTTTATTATTCTGTTATTTGATATTATATGCATTTGATTTTTGAGTAGTTGCAGATGCTATACAAGGCAAAAAGTCATTGCTACAGTTATTGGTTAATTTTTGTATCTCCCTCATTGTGTGATTAGTTTGGTTTATATGGTGATTGCTTAGATTATCATATTTATGTACACACGAAAATTTACTCTCATTAGCACCCGAAGGTTAAGATGTTTATTTGATATATTTTGAAATGTTCTAAACCAGTATTTATAAAGATTCTCAAGATATTACGTAACATCTCTCTCTCTCAGGTGTGAAAAGACTCTAGGAACTGTACAAAGTGAAAGATAATTTTACTAATAACAGAAAAGCAAGTAAAAGCAAAACAGGAAATTAATATATCATTGGATTTTCATTACTCCATTAAATAGCATGAAGTTACATATCTGGCAGCATTTGGCAGTAATTGGTAAGCATTACAAGATGTGTAACTGTTCATGACCTATTTCTTCCATTTCACACATTCTGTATATATTGAAGTATTAGATAAATCAAGAAAAAGGCATGATGGTAATTTTCACTCGGCAAATTATACAGATGCTTGATAATTAATTAATCAATTGGATAACACTGGAGGAGCTTAAATTTTGTTCATAGGCCTCTATTTTTAAAGCAATGGTATGCAAGTTTGTTTTATCAAATGTAGCATAGCAGAAACAACACTAAAAAGATAAGGATGAAAATAGACAGTTACAACAGATCCAAAAGGTTATTTAATTTTGTTTTCTCATGTCCTATCATTTTTAATATTATGATTATATAGTAATCATATTGATTTAAATGATTATTTAATAATATCTTATATAATTATGATTCAGTGCTTTTGTACTATCCAGAACAACTCCCAAAATCAGAGACAAAATATATTCCTGCATAGTCAGACTGCATCCTTGTGCATTAAACGACATCATATTGCTTAAAGAATATAAAAAATAGCACAAAATAAAAAAAATGGTGAGTAAGAATGCTCTGGTCAGTGGTCTTCTTGGTTCCTTAAGAGTTCATACTGCCCTTAGAACACCACCAACTCTCCAAACTCTTTGATTTACAAGAAAGAGAGCATTAAACGAAACAAAACAAAAAAATTAGGGGCGATATTAAGATACCCTAAGGAGTAAGAGTTTCTAAAGACTGAGTTTTATTTATATATACTGGCCCAAATACTAAACTTCTTTTCCAAAATAAAGAAAAATAGAATAGAAAAAAGTCATGACATATGCTATCCTTTCGTTCTTTATTTTCTAAATTATGATTAATAATTTTTAAAAAATAAAGGCTGATGTAAGTTTTTGTATTTTAAGTCAAAAACTCAAAAGTGTTCAAGAATATATCTTTATATATCTAGTTATGTTGTATGTGTGTTTTGCCCAATATCCTGAAAGAAATCCTAAAATGAATGTGCTGCTTTTGTACTCATGTTGATCATCAGATAAAAAATGATTGCAATGCAGTGTGTGTTTCTTCAGTCAGTTCAGTTTTATGTAGTTAAACATGAATACATGTGTGTCTGCCATCTTGATGTTTTTCTATACTGAGAAGGGAACAAAACATGGAGAATGTTTGTCAGAGTAGTATGTGAATGAAAACATTTACAGATGAATTTTTCATATAATATAAAGTACAAGACTTACACAAATTTATCCTGACTATGACAGAAAAGAGACTGAACAATGTCATGGCAACGCTTCAGGAGCACAAGAATAAAATAGTCATATTTATAATGAAATGACGGCAATAGCATATTTACATCCTCAGTACAGTTGGTATAGTTAACCCATTGCTGCCGGATACATGTACTTTCCATTGTAATTTTGTTATGTGAATTTGGTTTACATATCGATGGCTTCACAAGTTCGCCAACAAGAGTCAGTTAATTGGCTTACTGATCTCCCTAATTTTCCCTTTCCTGTTTTTGCAGATTTTTTTTTTTTTCCAAAAAATTACTCATATTATTACTGTTATTACTATTGTTATTATTATTATTATATATTTGTTTTATTATAGTTATTATTATTTTTCATAGTCCTTGTTATTGTTGTTGTTATTGCTGTTGTTGTTGTTATTGTTATTATTATTATTATTATTATTAATAGTATTAGTATTAATATTATTATTATTATCATTATTGTTATTGTTATTATTATTATTACTATTACTATTATCATTATTATTATTATTATTATTATTATTATTATTATCATCATTATTATCATCATTATTACTATTACTATTATTGACCTTGGTTATTCTAATGGTATTAACAATACCAATAGCAATAAAAATAAAACAAAAGTTTTCCAAACATCACGGAAACAGGTTAAGGTTGATATCAGATAGAACTCGTAATTAACTTAGTCCTTGGAGATTAAACAATTATGAAGCCCTCGATATGTACACAGAATTTACCAACTAAAATCACAGTACATGTCATCATAGCTTCAGTGGTTTAATATCTAAACACCCTGTATAGTGATATTCACTTCAATTTTATTCACATTCTTTATGCTTATTATGAACTGTATAACTGTTACCAGAATACCAGGTGTGTAAATAGATGTTACAAACAGTAATAGGAAGTTTAATCAAATACCGGTGCCACATAAGTATATTTTATATAGAGTTTATTCCATTGTTCTGCATATGAAGTATATGCAGAATATATAGAGAGTTTCTTATAGAAATACATTAAATCTGTTCTAACTCTGCTTGCATAGTATTTGTAATATTACATCTCTACATAGCAAAGGACTGCAGTAGAGTCGAAGCTTTAAGAGAATAGGAAACCAATACAAATAGAGGAACAAGTATTTAGGCTAAACATTGTTTTCATTCTTAAATTCACTGATTTTCGTTCTGGTAGTTTTAATACTCACTGATTAGGTTTTTGCTAGATTCTTGCTGTAGTTTTGATAGATTGTAAAACTTCCTGATTGCTTGCATAACTGATGTAGTGAGCCACTTGTGACCTTATTGTGTGACATATATATATATATATACTATATATTATGTGTGTAAGAAACTAGATATATCAGTAAATGAATGTGATTGGAATATCTTTCTAAGTTTCATAGAAAAGGTGATTTCTAAGTCAAATGCATATTTTATTTCATTCTAATAGTACACAAAATGCACTGACTTTTATTGTTGATTTTGTTAAGTGCAAAGTATGTGCAGCAAG